TATAACGAAGGGCAGTGTTACTAGCGTTACGTAATTAGAGCACGCAACTTCAGCGTTTTGTTATTGCACTCACGCGTAGAGAAAGCAGAACGACGGAAGGACGACGGAATTGGAGTACTTGATTAGATGGATTTGTAAATCTATGCAATTATGTAATGAATGTATTCACTTTTAACTTACTATTCTTAACGTATGTTACAATTATATCGATGCTCTTATTTTTTTATCACAGATTTTACAACAGCTTCTTAATTATGTGTGATTTTTTAATATACTCATAAAATAACTTTATGCGTCTTAAAATAATTATAGAGGATTGCATGTGACTTAACTTCTTATAAGGTTTTTTTTGCATTCTAATGCTGTTGTATTTTAAGAAATCCACGTCTAAATTGAGGTTTATTTGATGATATAATTTATTTATTAAAATTAATGAAGCAATTTTATTGAGTAGGATTTATATTATAAAAGTATTAGTCATTTTTTTATTTTTTAGAGTATTTCCGTTTTTTAATCCCAATCTTATAAAGCGAGCAATGTTTTTGGTAATATTCTACTAGCTATTAATAATTAATTAATCTAGACAGTTGTGTAATATATAACAAAATCTGGTATATTTTCCAATATTTCCGAATTCTTGTGCTGGTTCCATTGTCCATGCAACGGTTTCGCCCTACTTAATATCGGTTTCAATTCACGTCTTTATCGCCTCTATTGTAGTGAAAGTATGGGATTGTGTGGAATACAAAACGTTATTACGTCCTTTCGACATCTAGGATTATACGTTACGTCATATGTAACATTGATTTGAAAATTGATGTCATTTGTAACATATTTTTAAAATTTTACGTCATTTTTGTGTTTTTTTTTTTGGTTCTTTTAACTTAATGTTCATAAGTGACTATAATAATTTTATTCGATATACTATAAATAATAGTTTAAGTCTTTGAAATTTGATATGTTCCGGTATATATTCCAAAGTGTTAACTATTATGACGTTGACGTGATCTTATTGATATGAAAGGTCGGTGTTATTTAATAAAACGAGTTATATTACATTTCTATATCTAAAGGTAATGTGAAACGAGAACCATCCGATGGCATTGACCGTCAGCGAAAGTTAACGAGTTTGTGATATAGGAAAAAATTATGAAACAACATTTTCTTTTATGAATGTTCGATAGTGACTGTCAACTTGGTTTAATAACTGAATATTGAGTACCAAATTTTGTCATACAACAGTTGAACTTTTTCTTATAATGGCCGAATGTACTTTTTTATAACATTGAATTTAATTAAGAAATAATGATAAATTATTGAAAGACTGACGAGGCGTTATTGAAATTGGATTATATAAGTTTTTAAAGCGGACATTTCAAAGAATAACAAAAGATTTGTTTGTTTTAACTATGTATAAGTTTCATGAACACGAAGGTGTAAAAAGTCTATTCAGTTAACATGTAGGAGTTATAATCCAGTTTAAAACACTTACATTCTTAGTCGACATAATCCTGAAGTGACTTTTAAAAATCATTTATCAATTCATAATCTAGAAGTCATTCTGTCAAGTTATAATATGAATGGAGGTGATAAAAGAGATTGGTAATATTTGTGACCTTAAATGTTAGATCTAAAATATAGATTACTGCCAAGTTATGGGTGCCTAATTGCAAATTGTGTTGTTGGCGAATAGATTTTAATAGCCATATTGAGTTATTAGTATCGTAGGTTTGTGAATACTTATCTGAGTATAATGTTTCAGTGTCGATTCCTCTCTTTAGACATGTAGATATCTCGTGGAATTAATCGGCGTCATGTCTCTTCCCTTCTTCGGATGGGATAAAATCTTTGTACTTGTTACGACTCAACATGTGTTTCTCAATTGCAATCTAAATCTATAGCGATATTTTCACGCTGATTTATACATGACTATGTATCATCGATCTTAACGTTAGTTGCTCGATATCTTATTACAAGTGAATAAGACTGATTTTGGTACAACAAAAGTAAGCGTATCAACTTGTGTGACAAAAGATAAGGTATTTATGAGCAAGTGTTAATGTTGAGATGGATGATAATTGAAACAATACCTTAAATCGAAAGTACTCACTCGTCTCTTACATTATAAAGAAATACGTTTAAATGAGGTTACTTACACGATGAAACCGTTACAAATTATTCTTAAGATAAATTCTATAGTTTATTTTTTATAATAACGTAATGAGCCCACAATAATATGCGCTTACGCAACCGAAAAATACGTAACTAGTTTAATATAATATAGTTACTGAAGTGTCATAAATCAGTTCAATTATGTATGTGTTGTTTTGAAATAACATTTAATAAACTACCGGTTTTATTGACTCCAGAAGACTAAGGCTTTGTTATGTTTAATCATCATTGTTATTTTCAATATTTAAGGCTTTAAGAATATAAAAAATTTACATAATACATATTGTATCTAGTACTACAAAGCATGCAAGTAAGCAAGACAAGTGAGACAATTTCTTGCGCCAGAGTCGTGCTGCAAGCATAAGGGTCTTATCAAGTGATCACATAACAGTTAAGCTGTTATAACCTATAAAAGCCTGATAATATCAACCTTATTTCATATCTAACCTACTTTCGATACAGGAAAATATTATATAATAAAAAATTACTTACCTTTGGTACAATATGCTAATTCTAATTGATATCCCTAGATACAAATTAAATTAGAGCTGAAGAAATTAATATGTTAGGTACATATTTTTGTTCTTAACTCTTTGCTCATACTTGTTATTTAAAACGGGAAATGTACAATGTAATAATTCTTTGAAGCAATTCGGAATAGTTAGTTAAGAATTTCGTATTAATTACTGAAATATTTTACATTGTATGGATTTAATTACCTATACTGTTGTATTATATAACAAACTTCAGCGAAATTACCTTGCAGTTGGGCGGAACGGTTTATCAAAGCACGTGATTACATTTTTATTTAATCATGTAATAAATAGACATAATTTCTTATATGTTACATCAGTACAATGAAAGCGTATATCATCACTGTTACGCCACGTTACGGATGCAGTGGAAGTAGAAATGGGTTCATTTGACTTTAGTTTTACTGTGAGAAATATTTTCTATGATTTCTTCATAATGAGCAATTGTATCTGTTTTGATGCCTCAATATTTATTATGAACTCTGTCCCCTTTGTGCAAGTTGTATGTAATTATACATTTGATGTTAAAGTATAACTTTAGTGTGAAATGAATTGTAAATAATAACTACTGAGTTCAGCTGCGCACGCGCAGACTCAGATCGTGAGACGGTCATTTGTGAATATAGCAATAAATCTTAACGTACGTTAAGAAATTTTATTATACATGAAAATTGTTCCACGTGATTAATAGATAAAGCTGATGAATTGATTCAATTAGTGAACCACAAACTAACATAACAGCTAAAAAACTTATATTTTAATTTATTTCTTCTCCCTACACCTGGGAAGTTTATCGTCATATTAAAAATAATAATAAATAATTATGACCTAAAATATTAATTTTATTTTCTGAAGTAATTATATTTTTATTTCAATGATATTTATTAATGATAACAAAAGTTCGCAAAACGGTTTTATTAATGTTTAATTTTTTTGTTTCAGGTAATTCAATATAAAGCGCATATATGAAGAAATTCTTGGAATGAAACAGTATTTGTACATAGGAGTATTTATTTATATCTCATTTATTATATATACAGAGGTCGAACAGTCGCAGAGCATAATAATATTAAACCAAATGACTACTTATCAAAAACTTTAATTAAGTGCCTTGTGTCGTAATCTTATTTGTAGCACCCATTTACTGTGGCAGTTCGGTCTCAAGGTCCTAAATGATTTATTGAAGTATCTTATTATGTATATGTAATGATTCGACAGTGCTTATAAAGTAATTTACTATTGTCATTAGCGTTATTGTGTTTCAACACTTCTATGTATTATGCTGCTGTTATGCAATTATTATGTATTAAAAGTAATTTTTAGGTATTAATAAATATTGGTTCTATTAGGTTTTTTTTACAAGATTTAGACTATTATAGTATAGCTTGCTTTTGTTTTTTATATTTAATATATATGTAACGGTCGAAGTCTAGTTAAAATTTTCGAATGCGTGTGTTCTTCGATCTTGTTGTAAATTTTAAGCCATTTTGCGGGTGACAAATTGTGACACGTAATTAGATAAGTGTCAATAGATACTATAGTAAATTAAAGTATATAATATGTATTTCGCTCTCTCTCTCTTTTATCTCTTTCCATCTCTCTCTCTTGTAGTTATTGGCGTTTCCTTATAGATTTCGTCAAAGACATGTGCGAATATTATACTGAGCTATGTAAAGAGGGATTGGTACAGAAAATATCTTCGTATTATTATTTGACGACATTAGTGTTAGCATAACTCAGTTATTAATGTGTAGGTTTTGACGAATAAGTTTGTTTGCAATTTTTTTTAAGAAAATTAGGTCTAAAGCATCTCTTATATTTCAAAGAAATATTTATATTCATTCTTCTTTTATAAATGAACCGTACTTTTTGTTAACGTTTTTAAATTTTCTCTTACCTTTAAGAAATAAGTAATTTTGCAACAGGTCAAAGTATTGTTATAAATTACAAACAATTGCGAGATTGATTGACGTGACCTTTAAAATTATTTAGCCAAGAGGTCAAAGGTACTACTTCCTATAAAAGTATGAACGTGTCGGTAATTTTTTTTATAATATATGTTATTAAAATCACGATTATTTCTTTATATTAAATAATACATGATAGAACATGAATCGTGAGCTTGTATCTGTTGATAATTATAATAAACGCTTAAAAAACATTGTTAATTTAAAATTAAACAGAATAATTGATGTCGAAGCAAACAAATATTCAAAATAAATGATGTAATGTAATATACAAGAAACAAGCTAATAGCCTAAAACGGTATAAAGGTCAGATTACAGACTGAAGAAGATGAACAACACTGTCATGATGTCGTGGGTCATGTCAGGTGACGTCACTCTGACCTAACATCAATACCAAATGTATTTTAACGTCAAAATATTTAATTAAACATGAGTTACATGGCTTTTAGTGACTTTATATTGAAAATATTGTGATGTATATACATACGTAAATATTTCGATTTTCTCATGATTGTTACTTCGAATCTTAGTCATGACGAGGTATTTCTCATTTCATATTTTTTATTTGAATGTCAATGTACGGGGCACCTTAAAATTGTTTTAATGTTGATAACATAGTTATGCGAATCTTGCAAAACTTATTAAAGTTCTAATATATAAAAGTTTCCATTTATTTCTTTTCACAACATTGAATTGGTTACCAAATGTAATCTTTGAAAAATATTAAACAAAATTTCTAAACGGTTTGTCCTTTAATAAATAATTCTAGTTTATTCACATGTGTTTAATGTCATAATAATAGTCAGATATAATTATATGTTTAAGACTTCATTACTACTCAAACTAATCTCCGCTAACGATAAAGTAAGTTCCTTATGACATATATGACATAATCTGATGTTAAAACTAATCAAAAGCCCCGTACAAATGCTGTAATGACTGTTGAAAAACTTATTGCATTATTGAAGGTTAGACATCTGTATCTAAATAGATGGGATTTGTGACGAGGTAACAATGTGTACTTGATGACATAATACAATAATCAGAAAATATGATACAAAAAAACATAAACTTCGACCAGTTTCTAACAAAGACGAACTATGTAGCATATCTATGGCTATTTACGTTACTATCTTATATGTAGAAACAAAAAAAAAAGAATACGGACGTTCTAGTATAGACAAGTATTTAGTGATGTTAGGACTTTAAAGAAAAGTAATTTAAAATTCATAAAAATACCTTAGTGTTTTGAATTTGCTATAAAGTAACTTTTATTGATTACAAAAAATAAACATATATAAATAAGCTTACGTAATATTACTATTTTCATTGTATCTATTGGCCGTGTATTTATATAATTTGAAAGTGTTACATTTCTCTCGTATATCCAAACAGGTCACGTTTTAAGTTCGTGACAGTTAACCACCTTATTCTAATTAGAGTGATTGAATACGGATTATCTTCTTATCTGTGCTTTAAATTCTTTCCCTCTCATTCTAAGCATTGGAATTTAATGGATTGATAGCTCACGATACAGTTAAATAACTTATAACTGGTTAGGTGCAATTGTACGGTGAATATCTAGCAATTTACTAATTCAGACTGGATTTCGTAAACCTATTTTCATGAAACAATGCTGTTTTATCAGTAATTAGCATATTTTGTAAAACTAGCCTGCTTTGTTAGTGGTTAGTGGATATGATATTTTGGTTTGGTATTGAACATATGGCATAATTTTTAGCTTTAAATCCTTTCTATGTCTGGGTAGGTAAAATTAAAGTTTTTCACGTATATAAATAAATATATGACTAAACCGTTTAATAAGATTCTTTACTTAAAAATGTATGAAAGTCTTGGAAACTGTTGGTTTTTACTTTTACAACACAAGCGCATATTAAGTCCTATTGGAGAAGGACATGAGTTTTGAAAAGCTTATTGAATAAATTCGAGACTTTTCACATTGCATTCTACTTAACTTTTAAATGACCTACTATGTATAAATTTCAATTGTTCAAATATATAGCAATTTGCAATACCTGGTCACGATTCAAGGGTTTCGCCGCTAGGTCCGGCGTTGCGCCCACTTGTCTCATGATATTGCGAAACTGTATAACTGGCAGCAATTTGTGGCTGTACTTAGAGTTGCCAGTTTGCACATGTAACAATGACCATAGCAATACAGTAATGCTTTTCAAGTTATTTTGCCTCAGTGGCCATTCAAATTCTAATTTTTCCCACAGTTAGACTGTTGCTTTAGCATAAAGATGAAAGATAGGGTACTTAATAGTATCACGACTTGTGTTTATTTGCTCCATTATCATGGTTTTCTGCCCCGCCCAGAAATGTGGACACCTAATGATTGCATAACCATTAACAAAGCTAGTGCATTTGAAGTTATAAGGAAAATGTTAAGAATTAATAATATGATGTTGAACTTGAGGGAAGGTCAAATTTCAAATATTTCTTTTTTGTAATAAACTATAATGAGAAAAATATCGATGATTTCATGGTCAAAACACATCATGGAAAGTTGCGAAAGAATGACTAACCGATTAAGCCGGATTAAATTCAACAAGACGGGTCGCATGTATGTACATCTCTTAAGCAACATGTGAAAAAACACCGAAGGTCATCAAAGTTTTGCAAATTATTGCGTGATTTTCCTGTTTTAATAAATAATTAAAATAGCCAACGAGACGATACTTTGGGTGTAAATTAGAAGATTAAATAAAAGGTCTTTTTTAACTTTTAAAAACAAGCTAAAAATATTTTAACTGTGGAAATTAAGGGCTACATTTAACATTCAGTTTGACACGTATGATTGACACATTATATAGTGAAAGGATTTTTATTTTATACCTCAAGGATTTTGATAAAATCGCCTTCTCATAGTTTATAAATTATGTTACGCTATTGTTTCAACTTTGAAGTTTCGTTATATACAAGAACGTGAGGTTCACTCCCCTGATGTTAATAATTAATAATGAAGAAATGAAGTATTTAGTGGCATTGATCTATGTACTTACTTTCCAAATATATAGGGATACTACATGAAAAGGATTTAATAATTTCAAGAGATGTTTCCAAATTTTGTTATGTATAATTAATGAACATTACCTACTTATTTTTATAATTTACAAAAACATTAAATAATAGCAAATATAATTTATGAATTTATCATAAAATTTCATTACCAACTTAGCTATCAACAAAGCTTTTGTAACGTAGTCTGAAATAAGTGGAGCAACTTATAGTATAAAGAGCTTAATTTCAAAGTAACTCAGTAAATATAATAATTTCTCGCCGAAGGTTTAACAATTCTCAACTTCCTCCCACTTCAAAGTACTATATTATGAGATAACTAAATGCCAAGGCTTACAGGTTTCAAGTGATCTATATCAAACTTTAACATTACCGTGCAATTTGGTCTGAAATTATATTTAATCTTAGGGTTCATACAAAGTAATAAATGATCTACATATACGTAGGAAACATTTAAATGAGACGAATATTTTAGAATTACTACACGTTATTTTATTACTTTAAAAACTAAATACTCAAGACTTTTCGGTTACATTGTAGAAACCGTGATCTCGGGCAGACGAAATATTAGTTTCATTTAAATAAATACTCGCGAAAATCTTAGATCTAGTCGTGTTTCTAAAGATTATCAAACACTTATTCAAATTATTATAGTTCGTGGTATATATTCATCAACATTAATCGTAGATTAATATTATTATAATGTCAATAAATTTATCTATTATTTTTTCCAATGAATGGTATGTTACACTCTAAACTAATAGTACACCTTAAACTCTTTTAAAGTGAACATATATATGTACATTCAAAATAAAGAGAATGTTTAAAACTAAAGCCCATAAATCAAGTGAAATTAAAACAAAACATGTTACAAAATAAGCGGATAAGTTTTAATTCGATTGCAATCCATTATAGTTACCGCCCACACTATTGTTATTGTTAGTTTGTGATTATATCAAGGATGCATGTAATGTGGGAGCTAACTACGAACAGGCAGCTATTATTGCAGATGGAGCAACTATTTGAATATTGAGAGGCCCTTATGAATGCATCTTAGCTAGAGAACTTTTAAATTCCATTAAGTTCTACCTTTAGCAAATATGTCAGCCTTTACTTGAATAAAAAAATACGTACATGATATTCAGATTTCACTAAATACTTAATTAAAATGCAGAAGTCTATAAATAAAATAAAACTGTAAGCACAAATTCTTTAACAGAGACCAATAAACCTGTACCTAACCGATACATATATGTACGTATATACATAAGTAGCAGTAGTGTCGGCATATACAGCGCTGTATAAGACTTAGTAATGACCAATTAACGTAAAATTTTTATGCTCCTTCTGCATTCATTCCTGATAAAATTTATAGTAGTGGGTGTAACTGACTAGGATCTCGTCAGTAATGCAAATTATTTAGTAAATACTCTTCTCCTACGCGTATGCTTTTAATAGAAACATGCTTTTACACTTACATTGAGACGCAAAACGACAATGAGTTTTTTTTTTGAGAATGGCTTAAGCAAATCGGCTCTGAATGTTACAATAAGCAGTCTGAAAATATTCCAGTGGAATAAAATACATGTATATTATTTGGGAAATTATTATTTATTATCTATTTAGTAACACATTCAAAGCTTTGTTCCTTGAAAACATAAAAAACCTTTAATCCCATGAAGAGGTTTTGAAACTGCTGCAACGATTTCAAATCACTGGTCATTTGCCGTAACAAGCTATCATTATGGTTTTCAGATTGTATGATACATATGGCATTGGTTGCCAAGTATTGTTTTAAGAGCTTACATCATAAATGTTGTATATACATTGATATATTATTGTAGTTAATCATATAACCGAATTAGTATTCAATTTACGACGTAAAAAATATTTTAGTTGTTATAAGTACTAAAAAAACAAATGAATATTTAAAAAAAACCCGTTATATGTAATATAGTAGAATGTAAAGATTTTTGTTTTTTTTTATAAGCATAACATATTGGAAGGTTGAATATCGGCATTTGAGGCCCTTAAATTAATCACCATAATATTTTTTTTTTGTATAAAAAGTGTATATATATTGACATGGTGAATTGTTTTATGTTATTTTGTTTCATGGGAAAATTTGTCTTTGTTTAACTAATACTATTAACTATTGTTGAGGGATATGTCTTTGTTATTGTGATATTTCGTAATTTTTAATTGCGACATTTGCTAAAATTTCATCGCTGGAGATTTAGTTTAGGTAGATGAATTAAACAGTACATATAAAAGATATAGTTCAAATTATTTGTTTATTGTTATATGTATAACATAAACTGTTATTACTAGGAAGACTATATTTGAAATATTTTAATGTTTAAGATTATGTATCTAGTTAACTATCTATCTAAATTATTTATTTAGATTTATATGTTCATGTCATGAGAAGAGGAATCGTCTATGGGCTTGTAATATAATTTAGCAAAATATGTTATCAAATAGAAAAGCTCTTTCATTAGATATTAATCTTTGTTAAATGTGAGAAAATCACATTAAACTAAATTTACGCGTGAGTTGACTGTTGTTCCAAATCCCACATAGCTCGTGGTCGTAACAAACGATAGGTTGTCCAAAATGACATATAATTCATTGTGAGATTAAAGTAATTACACAAGTTATTAACATGGGTAGTAATTAATAATTATAAGGTTTAGTCGTTATACATAGTCTAGAAAAGATATGAAAAAATATGGTTGGAATCTATTTGAATAAAAGCATAATGAAACATAATCCGTAATTATGCAGTCATTTAAAAAACAATGGATATAAAAAGAAGATTTTTCATGGCGTAACAAGATTTTAATACTATCTTTTAAAATGGGTCGGTTTTATTTTAAACTACTTAATTAAATACAAGGTCTTTCATGCAATTGTTCCGAATAGTTAAATCTTAATAAGCGAATACATATAGAGCACGATCGTGATTTCGAGTTTACTTGTTTATGTAATAAATTTGTTCAATCTTTTAATATTCTTATTTATATTTCCTTACACTCTTAATATAGAAATATTTCACATTACTTATTCCTTGATTTTAGCGGAATGTCTTGGAGCGGAGCGCTCGCGGCAGCGCTCTCCTATCAGGAGCGTTCCCGTGGCGGCCAGCGTCAAGAGAGAAGTTGACTTCGACTGCCCCGAAGAATTTGGGTATTATCCACATCCCACCGACTGCACGTTGTACTATGTTTGCGTATTCGGCGGTGCTTTACTAGAATCTTGCACTGGTGGCCTCATGTACAGGTAGGTTCAGAAATATAAACAGTTTTATAAGTTATTCATCAAATCACAACATAATTTTATGAATGGGATAAATTTCAGTCACGAGCTCCAAACATGTGATTGGCCGCGTAACGTAGGCTGCGACGCCACCGGTGCCGTCATAGCTGACGATTACGAACGGCTAAACGAAAGACAGTCTCCACCTCCTACATCTCGAAGAAATCCGCCGCCACCTCCCCCGTCCAGAGCACAGCCCAATCCAGTTATTACTTCAAGAGGGCAACCAAAATTCAACCGACAAGAATATGAAAAAGTATTAAATCGGTTCCATTGATGTTTAAACTAGAATTCAGACATTCAATAGTTTTTAAATTATGTAGTTCCACCACAGCAGTTGTAATATTATTGTCTTTAAAATTTTCAGCAACAACAGTTATATGCTGAAGTAGATGACTTACCTCCTGTGGAAGAAATTGAGAACGATAGGCAGCAAAGGGTATACAGAGGACAACCATCAACTATTGGACAAGTTCAAAAAGATAGGGACGGTTACCATGGATCTCAAGGCATTAGTTCTGGGAGAACACTTAACTCTAATATTATTCCTTCCTCAATTGCGCAAAATAGTAAAATTGGATCGTTTTCATTTGGGACACAAGTAGAAGATAGAAGAACAGCAACTGCCACCCAAACTCCTCAGTCTTATAGGTAAGGCTCATAAAATATTGTTACATATAAAATTAAAAAAATTACACAAGTATATCAATAGAAAATAAATTTTATCAAATAATTCAAGATCTGTATGATAATTTCAGAGAAGATAAATATGACGTTTTGACTGACTCTTCTGACTTAACTAAAGACTTTACGACTGGTGAAAGGACTATTAAAGATATAAGTAATAACACTTTATCAAGGAAAAGACGAGATATTGAATCCCATTTAAATGCATCTTCTGTACCAGATAAAATTTCTAATAAAAACGATAATGACCAAGAAATGGAATATATAGAGTTTGACCCAGAATCTGATGAAGATGAATACCAAGATGATATATCGGATGACGGTGAAAGGGGAAAGAGACAAATTAGGTTTTATATAAAAGAGGGACATAAGGTCCCTCTTAAATTTACTAATTCTAAACCTGTGAAGTTTGTAAACTTGCGGCATAATAATCAAAATCCTAATATTCAAAATCCACGGTACTATACTAATCATAATAGTGGATTTAATGATAATAATTATAATTCATTTCTAGTGACTAATAATAACAACCATTATCCAGTAAATGGTCATCTCAATTATCAAACAGTGTATAATAATCAAAATCAAAGGCCATTTAAAGCAAGTTTACCTGATTTATCAAAACCTAAATATTTACTCAATAATGCAGGAACTCAAATTATCACAAAAAGTCCTCCAATTTCTTCTTTAAATAACAATCAAAATCCATTTGCGTCGTTAGCTGGTGGATTTTATAACAATGGGTTGAAAAATAATCATAATACAATATCGCAAGGACAAATATCCTCAGTGAAACCAACTTTATCTTCACCACTTGATTTAACGCATTTCCCCAGTACAATTGTTACTGGAAGACCTTTATCATCTTCTACTCAGAGTTTAAATCATAGTGTAAAAAATGACGAAGAGAATAAAAAATTAAAAAATAGTTACAATAACGATAATAACAAATTTACAAAAGACGAAGACTATAATGAAGATGAAGAATATTCTGATGAAGAAACAGAATCTTCGGAAGAAGATGAGGAAGATCACAAACCAAATTTCTCACCGCCTATTACTGTCCCTTATAGTTTTAATCATCCCAGAAATAAATATGCTAACATTGATAATCCATTTGCCCGACCGAACTTTAATTTTGATGATTTTTTGGCTAAATTAAGAGATGATCAATATTCGGTTATTGGGTTATCAACACAAAAACCAAAAGCTTTACAAAATAATGATGTTCAATCAAATTCACCTTCAAATACAACTCCATCTATTAATGGACACAAAATATCATCTTTTAAAGGTATAAGTACTCCAAAACCATTTACTATGTCTGATGTATCGCAAAATTTAACAATGACTATAAATAAAAACATAAACAATTTCGGTACCCAACAAGGCTCTGATTACGTTTTGAGGTCACAAATAAATGCAAACAATAATAACCAATTCAGTCAACACAATTCAAAAAATGTTAATAGATTTCCACAAAAGGATGCTGGCTTACCTTTAGAGACTTTAAAACCGAAATTAAAGCTACCCAACTTCCAGGATAATAGACCACTTTCTGTAAGTTACAATTTCAATACGCCAGCAGAAGGTAGTAATCAACCGTCAGGTACAACAAGGCCAGTTGTCACTCAGACGCCTTATTATAGCACTCCAAATAATAACAATAAAGTACCATTACAATCTCATCATGGAAATAATGTAAAACCGTTCCTGGTATCAACATCGCCACCTGTCAATAGATATGTGTTAAGCATTTCACAATCTACTCCAAGACCTGCTACATTTGTAAATGAACAATTTTCTCCCGTACAAAATTATTGGAATAAACCATCTAGTGGTCTTACACTTACAACACCATCATCGATAAGTCCAAATACAGTTACAGAAATTGCGAAGTGGACAAAGTTGTATTTACAAGCAATACAATCATCTACAATAACACCATTGAGTGGTAAAAATATAGTTGCTGATGTAAACACTAAAGCTCCGCCAAAGCGTAAACCTATACCGAAACCTTCGCCGGAAATGAATGATTACTATTATGATGATGAAGATGAACAGTATTATTATGAACCAATCGTTAAGCCTAAATATATGCCAAGCTCCGAAGTTATGCCTCAAAGACCGCCTATGGCACAAAACTATGAAGAATACGACGATTCCAATGAACAACTTGAAATCCATACAGATCCAAAGTTTCAGGAACATCGAAAAATACCTAGTGGTCAAAATAATTTTAAAGTAGAAAGTGCAACAAAAAATCACAATGATGTATCCGTTGTCACCAAGTCCCCATATAAACAATCAAACAAAATTATTAATGGCAAAATTCCGGTACCAGTAATGGTTGATTATGACGATTCAAAAAATTCCATGTCTCATAATAGTCGCAATCGAACGTATTATTTAAGGAAGCCAAACAGGCCTGAGAATAATCCAAATACATTAAAACCTCCTAAATTTTTGAATCAGACAACCTTGCGGCCTTACACTGTCAGACATAGATTAGCAATGCCAACAACTGAAAAAAATCAGGCTTATCAAGATTTAGAAAATAAACAAATGAGAGGAAGAATACGACATCACAATATAGTTGCGGAAATGAAATTGACTACTCCTCACGACAGCTTTAAACAAGAGACTCGAATTACTAAGACTGGTCATGACGATAAAACGAACAGGTAAACAGTATTTCTCATTTCTTGACAGCTTTAGCAACACCTTAAGTCTTGTCATTTCAAATTAAGGTAGAGATTTTTATTCTATCTTAACATGTTTCTACTAAAAAACTGATACTCAAAATACTCAATAGTTACAACAATCGTTATAAGTTTTTAGCTTTTGTGAAATGATGACAAAATTTAATTTAATTCATGTTTACATGACAAGACAAATGAATACGCCGAAAAAATTATATTGCAAAAAGTTATTTACACTTGACATGCGACTTTCGTTCACTTTGCTGATTTGTTCTGACTAATATTGTGTTTTTGAATTTGAGTTCATTAATGAGGAAGTTTTTGAAAATTTTGGACTGTAGAAATTTTAATTAGAACACTTCGGAGAACAGAGACTTAATATTTTGTATTTCGACTATAGTCATGACTTTTCAGACATAAAATACACAATTAAATTTCAAATTGATTCTATCTTGTGTTACTGTGCAATGGTATATTATATTCTTTGTCCTTTATAATAATCTAATGTGAACTTATATAATGAAATTACAGCCTGGAACCCACAGAGAGCGTTACACCTTCCTCGTATTCTCCAAGTCCGCGACCAAAAATGCTTTATAACGGTTCTCAGACTTACAGTCCCGATCAATATGATCCTTATTACGCTGTATATGATGAAGACGGTGAATTGTACAAGGATACAGGTGAGGAAATCGTCATACACTGTTATCGCAATAGTGGACAAATATTTAAAATGATAGTTCTCTATTTAAAACCTTTTATTTAACTGTATCAAGCCATTGTTAATGATTTAATTAAAACTTGTATTAAAGAAATATATATCATAAAAAACGACATTTGTTTTGACTTTAATATCCATCAAAACAATTAATCAACCAGTAATAATTGTTTTCACATAATAATAATAACTCGATAACATCGTTAAATTTTAATGACTGGACTTAATTATTTGCTGTGACACTAACTTTTCAAATCCCAGAAATGTTTAATAGAAATAATAGTAAAAAGGTACATTCATAATTACGTCTAATTTACTAACTTGGGATTGACATCGGTGTTGGCAGACTATGTGCAGCAATATAACTCAGCTTCGCTCCGACCAGCAGTCCAGCAAACTTACAGAGGCACTCCGCCTTCCCGTCGGCCAGTAGAGACCTATTCAGCAAGACCCGTCGCAGACGATTACGACGATGCTCTTATTCAAGGACCCGTACGTAATTTGAGTTAATTACCTATAATAGTTGAAATATTTTATTTGTTATAATCATTGATATTTCAGATCATAAATCAAAACCAATACCAGACATCTGTTCGTCAACCGGCAAGGTAATATTTTTATAACATTTGATTTATATTAACATCTACCACATAAACAATATAAATATATTATATTAAATCAGGGGTGAAGGTAACGAATTGGGTTATGATCCTATACCAAGCAGCGTGAGGACGACTATTTATGAAGCCACTTTCCCAAGCACAAATCCAACTACAACTAGCACCAGCACTACTACCACTACCACTACCACAACCACAACCACAACCACAAGACGACCAACAACCGCACCTTACACGGAATCAATGACCTCGTCTCGTTATTCCCCAAGGTACTACAAAAGAGTAATTCATTCATCCTCAGTGACTAAATTTTAAATCATTTTCATCATTCATTATTCATTCCGTAACTAACGTCTAAATAAAAATAATTAGAGCTTAATTTCAATGTCATGCAACCTTTAGACTGATCATCTTGTCATTACTAATTAGGTTTGGATTGCTAATAAGCTTTTTTCGGTTTAAAGGTTGTTTTGTAGATAGAGGAAGGAAATATCTTATATTACATGTATTCTACATCATTGGCTACATAATTTGGCTTTCTTATTCCCTTTCAATATTTTATTTACAAGTATATAATATGATTTATATATTTACTTTTGTAGTATCTTTTCAATTCAATTAGTTTTACTACAGTCAGCAGATAAGAAAACTAAAATTAACGAAACGAAACAAATATGATTACAAATTTGATGGGGATCTATAGGTAGAGCTTGTAAATATTTTATAAAGTGAGTTTAGTTTTATTTCTCTGCTTTGTATTTGACAGATCATCCACTGATGAGAATCGTAGTCGCCTCCCTGCTTCCTCTACCGTCCCAAATGATATTGATGGATTTGTCACATCAATTCCTTCTACATTATCAACCACTATAAACTTATCCTCTCACGCTAAACCTTTTGAAAAGACCGATAATGCACATAGGTTACTTGAACCGTCGACTGAAATAACGACTCGTAGACCAACAACTCGTGTGACTGAAAACAATAAAAATTTCGTTACTTTAGTTCGTGAAAGTCCAGACGTAGGTAATAAAAAGATGATCTCTTTAACTACAGGTTTTTCTATACGCAGGAATGTTAATAATACAAAAAATCCTTACACTTTAACGATAATTTCAAAGCCATATGAAAATAAGTCATCGGTTGCCACCAAAAACATTCGAGTTAAAAATAATAAAAAACATTACATACAGAGACTTTATTACGATATCAATGAGAAAGATGAAACGCAACCAGAAAAAAATAAAGGACTCGGAAATGATGAACAAACCAAAGAGAAAGAAGTTGTGGTAAATATATCATCTGACCAGAAAGAAAGTGGCTACGAAGGCCCAGATGATAGCTACATGTCCTCATCTGCACGAACCCCTACATATAGGCCCAGAAGTCGTTTTAGTAATAGTGCCACGCCAACAACGACAACAACAGAAGAAGTTTTTAAGCGACCGGTAACGGAATCGACGGCAAGTTCAATGAGCCCAAAAATTTTTACCGATAGTAACTTAGACCGAGTAAACGAGAATAGTGAAAATAAATATTATGTTGACAGTAACAAATCTCAGCGCTTTAAACAAGTAGATTATATAATTCAAGATGAAGATTTAAAATACAAAGATCCAATAGTGTCACCGTATAAAACATTAGATAATTTAAGAAATACCGGTAGAGACTATCTATCTAGCGATGATAAAGTAGATGTCCCTTCGTCGACTATGTCAACTAGAACTTCAAGTTTAAGGCCAGTAACAAAACCGTCATCAGACAGAGTAACAAGAAAAAAACCTTCCTATTATCTTTACAATGTCAAGGATGATGAAAATGAGCAGACTACGGAGATATTTAAAAATGGTGTGAAACAAATAATTCGAAACTTATTTAAAGATGCGCACAGTAGCACACCAAAAATTGTTGAATTTATTTCACCTTCTACAACATTGGAGACAAATGAAAAGGTGGTAAATATTGGATTTAAAAATAAAAAACACAATGTTAGTGTTCAAAAGCCATCTCGCAATAGTTTTTAAACACGTCAGCATATTAACAGAACCTAGCGTTGTTAGAAACGTCTCCCCTTCTGTTGATAATCCTACTACAGTGTCCAATCAAGTCCCCAGAAATGAAATATGATTCAGTTGAAACTGCAAACCCTACAATTTCTCTTTCAACAGAAATTCCATTAATGGATGCAGCGACAGAAGATGCTTTCAGAGATATTTTACCAAATATGGAATATGAATTAACAACGAAATCTCATTCATTAAAATCCAAATTTAGTAGCTTAATGAATAAAGAATCCAGAGATGAAGAACCGAGATCTCATAAGTTTAAGAAAATAATTGAAAGTGAGATAAAACCATTTGATAGTAATATTGATGACTATTCTGAAAGAAGTAATTCTCACCTTGAAACTAACACAGATAGCAAGGATTTAACGACAGAAACTCAAATAAGACTTACAAATGACTTTGCTAATGACATTGCTTCTACGACAAGCACTACTAAATCCACTACAACTTTTAAAATTGACGCTGAGACCAAGCAGACCTCTAAGAGCTTATCCTATCCAACTCGAGCCTCTCGTATCAACCCTGCCATAAAGTTAGCCGCGGCAAGTGTTGGAGGTGGGCGCAGGAGTTACCAATCGCCATCCAATTGTTCATCAGACAACAGTCTGCAAGTGAATCCAAAATGCAACGAAATCAAATATCCGAGGTACTCGCCGGCCAGTAGATATCGTAGCCTAATATTTATTTCATCTTTCTTTTTTGACGGTGAAGGCTTACTTCTTATTTTCTGCATTGCGTTTTAACTGGCATGTGCATCAACGTCTTCCTAAACTTTGATAATGGCACCAAAGTCTAAACTCTATCGCTTAGCAAATCTTCAACATCATCATAAGCTCATTGGGGGACTTCCAGTCGGTTGAGTTTTTTAGAATTGTTAACTCCTGACGCGACCATATCCGTTTCCTGCACAACTGTCTCTGACTATTTTTTATTTACCGAATGAAAATTAGTGCACTAAGTTAGAATAAAAGTTCCTCAATGTTACATTTATTTAAAGCACATTTCAATCCTATACATTTTCATCACGAACATCCTCAAAAATAAATGTGCATGTCATGTAAGTGTTGCTTTTATTAACTAAAACTAGTTGTTTTTCAGTTTAAAAACAATTCTAATCTGAATGACAATAAAAACCAATAAAAGTTTTTGCTTCCATCTAAAAACACGCTCACTAATCTGTCTACCTAATAGAACTTTTTACTACTTTCATACATTTCACAGGCCCACAAGCACAAGAGGTCGAGGTTCGGCACATTTCTCTACTTCTGGTGGATCTGAGGCTCCACAGCAGACTCCTAACAGAGGAACACCTCCAACGTTAGAAAAGATTTTTTTCTATATAAATAAACACTTTCAATTATTTCTTTCATAAATCATAACTAATTTATTTATCTCAATTATGAGATTAAATGTTTTTTTTTAAGATAATTCTAACTCTTATTATTTTTAATAGTCGCAGTCGTCCTACGTTAAAACCCTCAACAGCCATAGTTACAAAGACTGTGGATATCAATATTTACGCTCATCCACCATCGCGCCCCGCCCCTGTTTACCCACAACCTACACCCGACAAGACAGCTGCCAAGTGTAGAAAAGATGTATGTCTTCTACCAGATTGTTTCTGCGGTGGAAAAGACATTCCCGGTATGTGCTCTATTATAATTAAATTATTTTAACTTAAAGGTTGCAGAAATTATCCAAAACATTTTTGTAATTTATATACATCTTAGGAAATTTGCCAGTCCACGAAGTACCCCAGATTGTACTTTTAACATTCGACGATGCTGTAAATGATTTAAATAAAATTTACTATGAAGAATTCTTCGAACGCGGACGATTAAATCCAAATGGTTGTCCAATAACGAGTACTTTTTATGTATCTCATGAATGGACCGATTATAGCCAAGTGCAAAATTTATATGCAGATGGCCACGAATTTGCCTCACATACTATATCGTAAGTCAATTAACAGTGAAAAAACAGCTAGCTGATTTTATATTCTTCGGATATCTTTGGATGGAATTCTATATGGGCAGATTGTATTTTATATTTAGACATATTATAACCGGTGCTTTATATTAAATAGCGGTTTCATGGCCATCTATATAATTATAATAATGGTTTCTTCTTTATATAATATGTAGGTTATATATAGGTATGTCTGTATGTATGTATTATTTTATTAATTTGAATTTTCTTTCTTCCTTCCTACCTTTTAAAACCTTTTATTGCCTTTTCTTTTCTTTCTCCTTTTCCTGGCACATAACACACCCAAAATCACACGCACAATCAAAACCCAAATCCTACGTCATATAGGCGAATTGCCGGTGGATAAGGTGCCTCAGATTGTTTTGCTGACTTTCGATGATTCCGTAAATGATTTGAACAAGGGCTTGTACTCGGATCTGTTTGAAAAAGGACGCGTTAACCCGAATGGTTGCCCCATAACAGCTACTTTTTATGTATCTCACGAATGGACGGATTACAGTCAAGTTCAGAACCTATACTCGGCTGGACATGAAATGGCATCTCACACAGTATCGTAAGTTTATGAAAAAGTCACTCAGCACAAATTGTACCGTTACACATATCACTACATTGTTACGACTATAACAAATTAAATATTCTACAGAACTTGCTACTATTCTATAAAGCATTTATTACATAGATTATTATCTTTCTAACACCCGCTTCTTTTTGTAGCATTTATAATTTTGGGTTAATTTAGTCTATTACGAGTATATTAAAAAATGCCTTACATTTTATTTTTATTAGTGGACAATTCTAGTTTAACATTTTCTTAAATTTTAGTCACAGTTTTGGAGAGCAATTCTCTCAGAAAAAATGGAACAGAGAAGTTGGAGGTCAAAGAGAAATTTTGGCAGCGTACGGTGGTGTTAAGCTCGATGATGTTAGAGGAATGCGCGCACCTTTCTTATCTGTAGGAGGAAATAAAATGTTTAAAATGTTGTACGACTCTAACTTTACATACGATTCATCATTGCCAGTATATGAAAACAGACCACCAAGTTGGCCTTATACGTTGGACTATAAACTTTTCCACGATTGCATGATACCACCATGCCCCACAAAATCTTATCCAGGTATAATTTTGAACAAGTCATGTACCTTTCAAATTAATATTTAAAATCAATATATTATTTTTCCCTTTTTGATTCCAGGAGTTTGGGAAGTTCCTATGGTCATGTGGCAAGATTTGAATGGTGGCCGTTGTTCTATGGGCGATGCTTGTGCCAATCCACCGGATGCAGAAGGTGTTTACAAAATGATTTTGAAAAATTTCGATAGACATTATACCAGTAACAGGTAAGACATTAGTTTAGTCAAACTGAAAATTGGTTAATTATAATGTTCATTGTATATAAAATCTCTAATATCAACAGGGCTCCTTTTGGTCTCTTCTATCACGCAGCTTGGTTCACTCAACCTCACCACAAAGAAGGTTTCATTATGTTCCTAGATTTCATTAATAAAATGAATGATGTTTGGATTATCACAAATTGGCAAGCCTTGCAGTGGGTGCGAGACCCAACCCCAATATCCAGATTAAATAATTTCCAACCATTCCAGTGCAATTATGCGGTAATATAAATTAAAAAATTTAAAATATATAATGATATATTAAGTTATTTAAATAAATAATATTTCTAAAACAGGATCGGCCGAAAAAATGCAACAATCCTAAGGTTTGCAACTTGTGGCATAAGTCCGGAGTACGGTATATGAGGACATGTCAACCCTGTCCTCCAATTTACCCTTGGACTGGAAAAACTGGCATCTCATCATCGCGCATTGACAACGAAATTGAAGAATAGATATAGTTATAAATAATTAACAAATTATAGATAATTAATACTCTTGTTCTTATGTTCTCATTCTTGATTCGACAGTTGATAAAGTTTTTTTCGATGGTCTGAAGGAAAGACCTAAATACTTACTTGAATTTAAAACTTCATCTGGTATTTTAAAAGATGTTGTAAGATTTGTTAAAATTAATTCTATTTTTATTGGAAACTGTGATAGTATTTGTTTTCAATTTAACAAGATGAATACATCTTAATAATCAAATTATCTTTAATGTTAATTACGTGCAACATCGATGCATCAGCACTAAGCTTTTTTTTATATTAAGTAAAATACTCTGTCATTAGAAGGTAACTGAATTTTTAGTATAAAGTGGCAAGTTCCCCTTTTGCAGTAGAGCTACTTTAAACAAAAACAGATTTCATTTTTATATTTTTTAATAAGAGCCATATTAAAAATTAGACAATATTCCTCGAATCTTGCCAGAGATGTGGTTGACACTGCCTTTTTTACAATTGTAAATATAGATATGTAAGCTTGTTTAAATTAAGTTTTAGAATAAGTCAGAAGTGTAAGCGCGTATATTCTGGAATTAAAATGCATTTTTTGATTTATAATTATTGAATTTTGAGTTCGAAGACGTGGCGTCTCGTAAACGTCTGTCTACATCGCGTCTATGATGAAGCACATGTTTACAGGACCGCTGATGTTATGAATTAACAATGAATTAGAATGTAAAAATAAAATCAGATAATATTTATTAAATAAAGAAGACCGTTAAAATTGATTATTTTCTATACAAGAGAAAAGCGCTTGCAATCTTACTTACTTCAACTTGTATCTCATAAGTCCTATTATTGTAAATATAGAATAAATATTTAAAATTTTTAGCTATACTATTATAAGAAAAATATATTTAGATTGGTTTTTTACTAGATTATCTGCTATTGAATGTACCGCAGACATGATCAAGCACTCGGTTGTATGAACACTGTTCCATTTTAATCGTATATAATACAGTTAAATGAAGCAAAGGTTGCATTAACCAGTGCAAATAAATAAATAAAATTATTCAATTTTATGTGTATAGTTTATTTATCATCCTTTTTATAAATATCACATTATTTTTGTTAGAATGAATGCCTAATAAGATGGTGTGATAAAAAAAAAACATAAATCCTTATCAATGTCACAAATTACATATTAGCACACTAGTGCTACTAAATGAAGTATAATTTATGTGCTATCACGAAACACCCTAAAAAATTACGACGTTATAAAAACTTAAAAATAAAACATAAATACAAATCTTAGAAACTTTTTTGTTAACAATTTGAAACGTAACTCTTACTCACTGTTACTGATTTTTTTTACAATTACTTTAGCCACCAATCTATTCTAAATAAATTACCGAGTTCTATAGTAATCACTTTGTTATCAAACTAAATTATTGTAACTAATCAAATAGTGACGTCGAATACAAAAACTTTATAAAATATTAAATTTCAATCAAAACACCTGTCTTATGACATTTCGTTCACGAAGGTCGATTTAAGCCATATATAAAAGCAAAGACGAAGGATAAAAGTTTATATAACACAAGAAGTCATTGAAGAACTTTGTATTCAAATAATTTTGCAATGAAATTCGATTTATTCATCTATTTCATGTTAATTTTTAGTATCCATAAAATAGCAAACTGTGTAAAAGTTTCACAAAATGGTCTAAAGATTCTAACAAAAAATATTGAAAACGACCTTTTAATGTCTAAACATAAATTGAGATCTGTGTATTCTCACAGAAATACTAAAATTGAATTTAAAAAATCTCCAATCGTAAAACAAGTTGATAACCCAAAAAAGAGTCACAATATGTTTAAAAGAGTTGTCGATCCTGTGTTTCATGGAAATCCCAAGACGAGGGAAGAAATGTGGCATGAAAACTTTTTAAAAGATAAATTGACGGTTGATCAATCCTCTTCTCTTATAAAGCTAATTTATAATATAACTTTAAGTTATCTTGATGATTGTACTCCTATAATACTGTACGACAATCAAATAAAATCGGTGGATAGTTACCTATTTCAAAATCTTTTTAAAAATTTTCCAGTATCATTTATACATGGTTACATAGACGAAGGTAATAATTTAAACGAACCAAATCTTTTAAATCCTACAAAGGATTGCCTCCATTTCATTTTATTTCTAAACGAGGTAAAGAAGAGTGTAAAAGTTTTGGGCAAGCAATCACAAAGTAAAGTCGTGGTAATTGCAAGGTCGTCACAGTGGGCCATACAAGAGTTTTTGGCATTACCGATATCAAGATCTTATGTAAATTTGCTAGTTATTGGTCAGAGCTTCAAGGACGATAAAAATGCTGTAAGAAATATAAAAATACTATTTATTTTCAGTTTATTAAATTTCATTTTACAACGATAAAATATTTCAGGAAGCGCCTTATATAATGTACACTCATATTTTATATGTCGATGGTTTGGGTGCTAGTAGACCAGAAGTATTATGTTCTTGGAGCCATGGAAAATTCTCTAGAAGTGTTAACCTTTTTCCAGAAAAGATGACAGCTGGTTATGCAGGTCATAGATTTGTAGTCGCTGCGGCAAATCAGCCACCATTTGTTTTTAAAAGGTATAAATTGTATATTGATGTTAAATTTCACATCATCTGCTATGAAAAAAATAAACTATTACAGGATTATTTCCGATGCTGATGGAGGAAATCCACGAATTCATTGGGACGGTTTGGAAATTAGAATTCTGAATCTTCTAGCGAAGAGAAATAATTTTACTATAGAAATTATTGAGCCACGAGATTTGCAACTGGGGTAAATTTAATATGTTTTCATTCCTATGTATCATGAATTATGATTTCAACACAATTTTTATTCCAGATCTGGAGAAGCTGTGTCTCAGGAAATTATTCTAGGTAGAGCTGACATAGGTGTAGCTGGATTTTTCATAACTAGTGATAGGATCCGTGATATGGATATGAGTTTTTCTCATTCGCAAGATTGTGCAGCGTTTATTACTCTGACATCAACAGCCTTACCAAGGTACAAATACATTTTATAATAACTGTACTCAATAACGTAAACATCTGAATATTGAAATGCAATTATATTATTTTGTGTTTTCTATTTTTCTTTTAAAGATATCGCGCCATTCTCGGACCGTTTCACTGGCATGTATGGGTTGCCTTGACATTTACGTATTTAATCGCTATTTTTCCGTTAGCTTTTTCTGATAAGCACACCTTATTACATTTATTAAATAATAAGGGGGAGGTGGAGAATATGTTTTGGTATGTTTTTGGGACCTTCACGAACTGCTTCACATTTGTCGGAAAAAATTCTTGGAGTAAAACAACAAAGATAACCACGAGATTGCTTATAGGTAGGTTTATTATTAATTCACGTATTGTATTTATAAATGCATTTTGTCAAGCAATAAATTTCATTAAACTTTTACTAGAAACCTAACTGTAAAACTATAAATAAAGAAGTCACAAAATATATGTATATACAATTTTTTCAAACATTTTTCTTATTTTGTAATTTTTTAATATTTTTCATAAGCCTGAACTTTTGTTTAAGGATGGTATTGGGTATTTACGATTATAATAACAAGTTGTTACACGGGATCAATTATAGCATTCGTCACCCTACCTGTATTTCCTGATACCGTTGACACCATAGGACAACTATTAGGAGGCTTTTATCGAATAGGAACATTGGGTAAGTAATTTGAAAAGAAAATATCAATGTTCATTTATTAATGTTATAGTATGAAGCCTTTGACGGTAGGAGTCCATGGAAGGTACTGAGTAATACAAGAGCATGTTAAAGAAGGCTTGTCTTGATTGTATTAACTCTTAGTCTCTTTCTTAAATTCTTGCTCAACCTTTTGATTTTCATAAAAAATATAATTATATCCTAAAAATTGCACAAGTAAATTTTTATTTACTTTGTAGATCGCGGTGGTTGGGAGCGGTGGTTTATGAACTCGTCGGATCCTTTAACTAATAAATTACTGAAAAAAGTCGAATTAGTTCCAGACGTCAGATCTGGTATACGAAATACAACAAAAGCATTCTTTTGGTCTTATGCTTTCCTTGGTTCCAAAGCTGAACTCGAGTATATTGTTCAAGCAAATTATTCAAAAGCAGAGTAAGATTTATCAATCTTTTTTTTTTTTTTATTGATAGATCAACAATTACAAGGGTATTTTTATTGATTTCATCAGGTCAAAACGAGCTGTTCTCCATATTTCCAATGAATGCTTTGTACCATTCGGAGTAAGTATAGCTTTTCCCAAAGGCTCGGTGTATGGAACAAAATTGAGTAGTGATATAAGATCAATGCTACAAACCGGGATAATAGAGAAATTAGCGGATGAGGTTAGATGGGAAATGCAACGTTCCGATAAAGGAAAATTACTATCGGTAATGGTTATAAAAATGTATAATTTTACACGTTATAATCATCACAGACTAGTTTAAGGAAAATGTTTCAGGTCGAAAAAAATACCATAAACATTATAAATGCAGAAGAAAAAGGTTTAACCTTAGAAGACACTCAGGGTATGTTTCTTTTGCTTGGAGCAGGATTTCTATGTGGAGCTGTAGCACTTATTTCGGAGCTGATGGGTGGTTTCTCACGCAGATGTCGGATGTTACGAAGCAGGTTAAGATCTAATCAAAGGTCTAGACAGAATCTTATCGATACTCCCAAACTATTATCAAGAGAATTAAGATTTGTAAATGAGGATAAGAACAGACGTCGGTTCGATACTCGTTCTTCAAGTCTACAATCTAATGACACACTTAATGGGGAGATAATAAATGTGACGAAAGAAAATATAACAGTGCACAGAAATTACGACGATAGGATCTTTGGGTCCAGAAGATCAAGTTCTATGGATATAGATGGAGAAGTTCAAGAGATATTTGGAGAAAGCGAGCATGGAAAAGTAATTTTGAAAAATGCAAGTGTTGAGATCAGGGATGAAAAGGAAAATCGTCTAAAGTAAATAATCGGCAACCTATTTTCACCCAAATAAAATATAGTAAAAATTAAGAGTAAATAAAAACTAAATTGTTAAATAAATATATTTGATGTTATATGTAGTCTTGAAAAGGGAAATAATTAAATAATTAACAAAAATTGACATCCAACTCTTTATTATCCTTCGAACAGTCATCAAAATAATTTATAACAATTTTCTAACACTGTCCATTAATATTAATATTTCAATCAGCCATTGAGATGTTATAATCATTACTCATTTACACAGAGCAAAGACGCCCAACGAAAAAAAGGCGCCGGTAGACCTAAATTAATGCAATATTTGGCCCGGCCTCGTCTTAAAAATAATTATACAATATGACTTATATTCCCTCGAGGCACCTCAGAAAAAAGTGGATATCCTCATTATTATCAGTAAAAATACAGTTAAAATACAACAGATTTTGCATTACTTTTTGTAAATTCAAACAAAAAATATACCTAATACCTACCTAAGCGATTTGTTACATTATGTATTGCACAACTGATGTTACAGAGAAATAAGTGTGAAATCGACTTGAGTATTCAATAAGGATATGTATTTATATACCTATAAACTATCTGGGTTGTTCACGACACACTGTGAGGCAATAGCAAAAAGAGAGGGTGGTGTGTTTGTAGGTGTTGTTATTAAATTATAATATTATATATCTACTTCGAAATCTATTCCTATTTCGGATGCCCTATGCTTATGACTACGATATTAAATGCAATAATGTAACTTTTTCTTTTTGCTATGGCGACACAGTTTATTTAGGTAAAACATACACAAAGTAGATACGTCTACAAAACAAACCAAGCGAAAAACTTTTTACAATAACACACAACATAGTTGTGCGTGAAATGAATATTATATTTAAATAATTATTATTAATTATAAAGTGAAATCATTCCCGATAGCAAAGCTCACAACCTCGGAAATATGCTCCCAATACCAGCTTACTGATGACATACTTTATACAATAAGGATGATAGATTACATAGTTGCAATCATCAACACATCATAAATGAACAATTCACATAAACAGTAAGAAGAATATGTCCTATGACTATTACACGAAATATAATATCTAAAACCATATTCAATGGACTTTCAGGAATATTTGAACTGTGCAAACGTGATAGGTATACAGGTAACAAAGTGTGTTTATCATTGATAAATAATTTATATGGAATAAGGTGGCTGTTATTGATTTAACAAATTATATTCCATAATTGAAACCTAACATGTAAGTTTTGATTGTGGGACATTTAGATAGTTCCGTACTAAACATAGTCTGTGAAATCATTAACGCCTCCTTCACTAATCAATTAATTACGTCAAAGGTTTGGAAAATATTAAAATAGCATCGCCCGAATGTGACAGTTGAGCAAATTTCAACAAACAAAGCACGAGTTCACAGAAAGGAACAATTAGGAACGAACGACCGAAAACGATCACAAATGGAAAACACGCATTTTATAATTTCAAATATACAAGAGTTGTAACAGTGCTGTTTTAACAATAACTACACATAAATATGTAGACGGTGAACGAACATCCATCATGTTTCAGTATTAAAATATTAATTCGTATAACATCTAGTAGTGTATAATATTTTACAATGCGAAAATACATTTTTTTTATTCGTTCAGACTTTTGAACTTTTATCTGGTTACTTTCCCTGTACACAATTTAACAAATATACATCCAATATTTTGTTACTGTGATTTGAAGAATTACATAATGTTTATTATACTAATTGTTAACATTATACAGTAACAATCAAGACAATATTTTTTTTCCATGTAACAATGAATACAGTAAGTACAACGACGTTCTAGCTCTTAGTTCCTGCAAATAAATTCCAAGCATACGATGTAGTAAACATTTTTAACAATTAATTAAATATATTATATTGTAAATACTTATAAATATTTGGATGTGAAAAATCGATGCCTATACGATACAAATTTGGTATATTATGGTACAATAGGCACTGTGAGTAAGGCAACTACAGTGGAAAGATATGAGGGGAGGATCGCCTAAAACCTGAATTTTGATGACAATTATTCCTATTGAGCGATTATAACTCATTTAATAAACACTCAATACTCAAAAAACTTTATTCACAGTTGATTTTTCAGGTGACGAGAAAGGATTCATTCAGCACGAATCTTTTGAGAAAATATTATTTTTTGACAACAATAACCTTGAATAAGGTAGTGAATATACTCCCAGTATAACATCCTCTAAAAATAGGGCGGCTTGTGATTTATAGTGGTTTAGCAAAATATGTATGATTTAGTGAAAAATATATAAATATATATACTTGTGATTAAAGCTAATTTATATAACGTACTTTGCAGAAGTGACTATGTAAATAGGCTTTATGCAAAACTTCAGATCACATTAACAAAATAATATATTTTCCTAACAACAAGCTTTATTATTTTTTTTTACTAGTAACCAATTAGCCACTAAAATAACACTAACATGGGTACTTTAAAAGTACAGTTCTACAATTTATGATATTCAAAATTGACTTTGTTTTTGGTCTGAATATGAGAAACGCCCGCACGTTGTTTTCAAATATATAATTTTATTATTGATTTATTAATCATTAAGTTTTACCACTGTGACTTCAAGGAATTCTATATCCATATATAAATTGTGTTAATTTAATTACAAGACTGCTTAGAGTGCGAGTGTTATCATAAGAATTTTAAAGCTTCGTGTGGTACCTTTATATAGTCGTGTCTAGCTAACATTACCTACTTACAATACATAACATTCGTTCCTAACGGGACGTGTATACATATTATGTAAATATTATGATTCTCATGTATAAATATGTTAATAGATAAAGTACATTTCCAATACATAACTTATTATCTTCTGTGATGACGCTACGCTTACTTAATTAACATAGATTCAAAGTTCGGATGTCACACTAATGATATTTTTAAAATGGCACAAAAAAACTTTAAAACACTAACACAAAGTCAACGGTTCCTTCATAGTCTTAACACACTCGCACACAACTTGTCTTCACGCACTTTGCGAGTCCCTCCGGCTTAGCAGTTCACGCACCGAACTTTTAACAGTTAACTCGTGTGCTCTATTACTAATTGACTATAAGCTAAACAGAGAATGGCACGGATTGCACAAATAATGTAGCTATTTACAAGGGTCATAAGAACTCTATCATTAAGCATTTAAACTTTTAAATTGATCAGGGTTGCATAAAGTCCTCGATATTGTACTTAAATTTAACATATATCCTTAATCTTTAGTGTTTGCACGTGCAATATTACATTTATAATTACGTATTGTAGAAGGATTGTGAACATGAACATTTAATCAACATCAATATCTAATATTTACGAAGGTGCCACATCATGTAGCTTACAGTCCTAATTAACCGATTACCGAGAACTGTAAACAGTGTTTCTCATATACCGTGCCTTTTTCGAGAGCACCTTTATACTTCTCAAAATAATTTTAAAGTTTTTTGAGTAATCCAATCCAGTGAGGAAAAGAGCATGTATAGACCAGGACGGTATTGTACCGAAAGCTCGATGGAGGTTGCAGCCACACGGGGCCTGAGGTGCGGGGCCCATAGATCGTAGGGCCCAGGGGGCCCTGCAGGCCAATTTAGCAGTGCGGGTGGAGGGGCCTTGGGTATGAACCGAAGGCCTCATAGCCTAGCTATGTGGCCCAGCCTTCGATCCGCGGCCGTTTTGAGTGAGGCTGTTCGTAGTCTAGCGGGACGGTGTTAGCATGCCTCATGTCTTGTCCGGCCGGCGAACCCATGTTACTTGAAGTCACCGATCCTGCAAGAAATATATTTTGAGTGTGCCACCAACATAGCCGAATACATAATTCCTTATCAGTATCAAGACTTTCTATATAATATTCTAAACAATCACCAAACAGTGTTTTTTTTTACTTTAAGTTGTCAGTTAATAAATATTATGGAGGAGTAATCGAAATACCTATGTATTTTAAGTAGTACTTAACATACCTAACAAATAATTGTAATATATAGGGACAAAATTGTAATATACACTTCAAAGTAAATTAATTCCTTAATTAACAACCTTCATCATTGCCAAGTATATTGATCATAACAGTAATTATATTTTTCAAGTGAAATGAAGGCCACTGCTATTAAGTTACGATTATTAAATATATATTAAATGAGTTAAAAATTTACATATATTTATATTCATGAATCTTACATGACTTGTCATGGTTCAACAATTAAGTCTAATGGGACAATTTGTCATACCTTCATTGTGATTTATTTCACTGATATCGTCTCACAAAGTAACTAGCTTGAACAAAAGCGAAAATTACTATTCGATATACCGATATAATTTCTTGATTAGTAAAAATAAAATCATTTGAAACAACAATGGAAACATATTAAAAATTGTAATACAAAGGCCATAGGCTCATTTATTCTATGAATGCTGCTAATGACACTTCCTATCCTACTAAAATTATAATTGCGAAAGTTTGTGAGTGTGAGTGTATGTTTGTTACTTCTTCACTCTCAAATGGCTGAACCGATTTTGATAAAATATTGTATACAGAAAGCTGACGTCCAGGAATAAGACATAGGCTACTTTACATCCCGGAAATCCGCGGGTAACACCGTGGGGCGCAGCTAGTAATAAATAATTCTAGTGTAAGTGACAAAACAATCGTCATACCATACATACCATCGATGCCGGCGAGGTGGGCTGGCGGTGCTGGCGGACGATGCAGATGTTCACGCGGTGGGGAAACTGGCTCTGCTTTAATCTTCACGTTGCTGGGAGATGCGGCCGGAGGCGGTGTACCGCCTAGCACCGGCAGACTGCTGAATACAACGTGGATATTAGTTATAATAATATTAAATCCATAGTAATAAGAAGATTTATATTTATAATACTATCAGATGATTCAAAGACATTCTTAGGATAAATTCTGGTAGTGATATTAATAAATAACATTGATAACTCACTAGCGTTAGGTATAAGTATTTAATTTTTTTTACGTACAGACCGAACTTCCAATTAAGGGATTAGAAAAACATAATACATGAGTATATGAAACAAATTTATTATATGTATATACAGAAATACGAGTATATATAATGTGAATTAACATTGACACGTCGAAATTAAATATTGCAGATTCGAAAGCGCTTTTTTAACGTAATTGACACATGATAATGTTTTGAGTAAGACTTTTATAACGCTATTTAAAGAAAATAATCACCAAATGCAAAATAAATACGAAAAAATATTTTAAAATATATATACTTTAGTTAATTAATATTATCGACTTTAATATTTTAACGTAATAAATAACCGCGAAAAAGAGAAAGTTGTTCTGAATACTTCTACAATATTCTGTAATGGTGACATATTTCATATTGAGAGGTAGTTGCTCCGATAGCCGTGATCGTCTAGTGGTTAGGACCCTACGTTGTGGCCGTAGTAACCCAGGTTCGAATCCTGGTCACGGCAGCGAAAGCTGTCTCGGCGGAGTACATTTTTACCGTTTATTTTATAAATTTTCAAAATATTTTAATTTACATTAAATATTTATTTAGATTTGTAATCAGTTTTTAAATCAATATATATTGAAGTATATTTTTATTTAACTTTTATGGTGATTAAGGTTAAATATTGTAATGTTTATTTTACATAGTTTTATAAAAATAAATAAAAGATTTGTCTATTGAATAAGCATGTTTGATGACTGACGGATTTTGTTAATTTTGTCATATTATGTTTACTCTTTCTTATTCTTGTTTTTGTTTGTTCAACGATCTATATATAATAAAACAGAATGATCACAGACATGTACCTGTTGTGTTGTAGTGTCTGCAGTTGGTGCGCTCCCCATGATAGTCCTATGCCGATGTCTGAGCTCATGCTGAAGTCCTGTGGTCCGCCGAAATTTCCGAGTCCTGAGTAGCTTAGTGGTGTCTAGAAGTTAGAGAAGGTTCTTATTAAATTGGTTGACAAAAACAAAATTTTTATGCATTATTTTCTGTATTCAAGTAATTATGACATGGTTACTGTTTCTTAGGAATAGGAATTATTGCTGAATGATTTTTTATATAAGATTTTAATATCTTTAAACTTTTAGCGACGATTGTATTAACTTATTATGTGAAGATATGATAAATAAATGATGGTGATCCGGAATTTATTTGTGTTCAGCAAAATACTGTTCTGGCAGTTTCTAGATAATTACATTTAATTGAATTTGTTCGGACGTGTTTCTCTCACATACAATGTTAAAGTAAAAATTGTTCAATAGCTTATTAACTCTTGCATTACAACAGAACCAACCTCTCCGGTATAAGATATGTCATCTTGCGGTGGTGGCATTGAGCTGGGTATGACGACGCGTAAGTTGTTGTGTCGGGGCGAGTGATGAGGCGGCGGAGCATGGTGGGGCTTGTGCGGGTGTCGGTGGGGGGAGGGAGCTGGGCCGGGGGAGGGGGAGGGAGTGCACCCCCCACCCAACGGTGAGCCAGATCCCGGGTAACCATTTGACATCTCTAGCATTGCGCCGCTCGGGTAAACTGAAATTTAACACATATCATACAATACATATTTTTTTATAATATAGATATATCACTTTCAAGGGAGTTTAAGTAATATATGTGAGAGTATGTACCTGAATCGGTTTCCGAAGACGATGGCCGTGGACTGATAGAGGTATGCATTTGAGGACTAGCTTGCAAAAGGGACTGATCATAGCTTCCGACGGGTACGCTGACAGGAAGGTTGTAGTTCGTTCCAGGAACACCAACACCGACTCGGCTTCCATTGAGTTGGTTGCGTTGCATCATCATTTGAAATTCCTCATCAATCTTTGAATACTTTGCTTCGGTCCTTGGGGTCAAGTTATATTCTGGTTCGGCTTCCGGGCTGTCTGGTGACATCACTCCGTTCTTATGCTCTTTCTTCGTTAGTGCCTGTAAGTGTCAGCGGAACCAGCTCAGGTGGCTTGACGAGCCCAAATTATAAGTCCTCTACGGTATATTTTGCATGCAATTTAAAATCAAGTTAAAGATTAGAATCACCCTCTTTACACACTGTTAGTTCATCAAAAATACATTATAAAATATGTTTAACTTATCAAAAAATTTTGCCAGTATGTAGAGGAGGGTAAAAGTGCTATTTGCAAAACTACTAAGCGATACTACTAAGTTATACGTGAAATTTTTTAGCGTACATTTGTGTGTTGTGTCGAATGCAATGGTAAATACAACACTGACTATACCCTCATATCGCATCTTTATGTAAAGGTAGGCGCGCTTAATTTAAATAAACACAAAAAAATATTTATAAAACTCATGCGGTACAAGGAAAAGTAACATAAATATTTGGGGTGGCTGGTCATAAACTGTTAGTATAAAACTCAGTGTCTGGTGTTTTGTACTTCATCATTTTTTTTCTAACAGGAAATTAACAGGCATGCTGACGGGTAGGCTTGTGTTTGTCTATTCTAACGACTGTAATTATAGTGATAACTTGTACAACATCAATTGAATCTTCCAGGACGTTTGCTACACCTGGAACTATTAGTGTTTTCTTTTCGATTACGTTTTAGTAACAAATGTTTGTATTAGGTTTATTTGTGAGTAAAAGCACGCTCTTAATGGGATAAGTCAATTTTGCATGGACATTGCATTGCGATCACGGGCACACAGATGACGCCGTACTTAATGTACCTCGATGATGTTGCGATTCGTCAGTGACTCGTGCGGCTCATTATATTCCGTGTATTTCAATAAAACCTGCAAGTTGATATTTGGATTCATTTATACATTAATATTTGTTTAATTATATGTATTTCGGTTGTAATTTGAATAATATAGTCCATCATTGTGAGTTACTTATTCTTTGTTTATATTATTAATAGCATGTACATATGTAATTTATTATAAAAGAAAGTTGATATATTAATAATCATTTACCTTGTCCATGTCGGTGCTGGCATACTGGTAGAGTTTGTTGTTGGAGCTGAAGATGATGAGAGCAATTTCACAATCACAGAGGACGCTCAATTCGTAAGCCTTCTTCATTACTCCGAATTTGCGTTTGTTGAAAGTCACCTGTACAGAGGATAGTCTTTTAAAATCCGTCATATCAATTAACACATTACATTATAAAAATATCTTCTGGAAACCGAAACAATAACCGGGAAATAAGTTTATTTTGTAAAATACGATAAATAATGAGTTACATTGATAAACAAAGAAATCATTGTATCATATGGAACGCAGAAAGTTATCGCGTTTAACTTATTGGGTCATGGGCATCGACAGAATTAATGGACTTCGTAATTGTAAGTGACCATTCAAATTTTTGCTCATTAATATTAAAAAGCTAAAATACAGACATGATAGACGGTTACGCTTCGAACTTTGTTATTTATTATAAATTACTCCAAATAGAAATACAATTTGTCTTTTATTTAACATCAAATCATTTCGTGGAGATTTTCGCGTTTGTTTATGCTTAATGGGGACATATTTATAAACAAATGAAGGAAATAAATTGTGTTACTTTCAGTGAAATAATATAAAACAATTGTTTTATTTTTTGGTATTGCATTTATTATTTAGGTTTGCATATAATCAATTTCCTCCGTATGTTCTGAATTATGTTTCCTGTTATTTTGTTTATCTTCAAAAAATAAATTATTATTTGCAAAACAATTATTATTAATAAGTGATTTATACGAACGTCATGTCAATTTTAATTACAATGTTTAATGTACTTAAATTTTTCAAATATCATCTCAATATTGCCAGACATGTACCTATTTACCAACCATTTTATAATAACACTCGACTAACGTAAATTTCTAGAAGATTATCAAAGAACAGATGAAGCGTAGCTTAGAAGTACTGGATAAGAATGTAGTAGTAGACTGTGTAGTCGTATAATTAATAAATTAGCAGAGGGAGCGGTCATTGTCCTCTGCGATAATGTTTGCAAGCGTTCTGCGCTGATACGATCCATCTGTCCTCACGGACTACTGAGGTCATTTCACCCTTTCAACCTTGTATTTAATATACGCGAATACAACACAGTAACACCTAGTTGTCTAATTAATTATTCTTTGTTACTGTAAGTGTGACTTCATTATTACTAAACTATTTACAACAGTTCACGAATCGGTTTTCAAACAATAATGTCAAGATAGCTCAAAGTTTGCTTAGCTCGACATTCAGACATTATATTTTATTACAAATGTACAATTTATTATCGCATATGTCTGTTACTGATACCAACCTGTCGATTCCGTTCATCCGTGATACGTGATATTTGTATTTTCTTCCGGCCCATGGTGGCAGCAATCTTGGAGGGGGTTATAGGAGCGGGGGGAGACAAATGTGCCGGTGGCTGGCTACTACGGACGTCAACAGCTGCTATCTGTTGGCAAAAGAAAATTGAACCTTATTACTTATATCATTCGACTCATTTTAAAACGCGAACATCTTGTTGGATGTGTTCCATGAGACATAATTTTAGAAAAAAATATATGTTATGAGCCTAATTGAATCACTGCATGTAAAAAAAGGTTTTATGTATTTAAAATGAATCATATATAATAGTTTGTGAAATAAATGTCCAGAGATTGAAGTCGTTTAGTGGAGACATGGTTTCATTCCTATTATACGTTGGGTGTTAGCTGGCAAATTTGCATAATGACCCAATCAGCCCCTATGACCTCAATTTTTCAACAACCGCAAAGTAGGCTCTGATGAGAGTCATGTCAAATAGTATATTATAATAGTCTCTAAAGTACATACATGACATTTAGACATATTTTAAAAGAATTTTTTGTTAGAATAATCTGATCTGGCCCAAAAAAACTATTTAAATCAGTGTTAGTATAAAATTAGACACCATTTCTTTCACATTTCAAAAATACTTTATAAATGTTTTATTTTGAATTTGAGATTTTATTTCTTGCGTAGTTAAAGTTAGTAAAATATCTAATTATCGCTTAGTCATTATGGAAGAAGAGGTAGTATTACATTAAGTAGTAAATAAACAACATGCTTTGTAATTAGAATTAAACAGTTAAATCATATGTTCATAAACAATTGTGTATTCATGATTCCTATACATTTTCCTTATTTCTAGAGCCTGTTGCGTTGCGAATGCTTCCCTGTCTCAATGTGTGTAAATTCTTGAATATGTCATTGTTCTGTGCGATGTGCTTTGATGGTGTGCGTGGCCATGGTAAAGGTTCGCAGTCTTCTCTCTGTTGCATGTGTGCGTGTAATGCAGACGTGTGTTTTGTATGTGTTGGTATGTATGAGGGCGGCGAGGGTCGGGTCAGCGTGTTTGTAGGTGACTAGTTAAATAGGTTTTGAGTTTTATTAAACCCCATAAAGTCGTAAATATTAATTTAAACGATTTTTTATAGTTTAAAATGCAGTAAGTACTCATGAAGACAGGTATTTATCTTATTTGTTAATGAAGAAATGTTTCAATATAACTAATATATAATATTACATGATTACGGAATTGTTTTTGATCTCAAGTTTTGTAATAATGTATCAAAATACGGCAATACTAATAATAATAATATTTTAATATATTATATATATTTTAATATCATAAATAAAATAGATTGGATTTGTTCAGTTGACAGCAAATTAAACACCCATGCGATTTTCCTCATGCCCCATTAAATTACCTACAAAGGGCAATTAATGCGTAAAGCAGAAAATTAAAGAGAAACTACAATTTCTACGTCAAATTAATGATGATATTTTAAATTTTATAAGAAATCTAATAACGATGGCTATGAAGGTTTTCTGTAATACAACTAAAATATTTGATACGGCTGTGTAATTAATATTGAACACGTAGGTTTTATATAGAAAATATTTTAAGAGTTAATTATTATGAACATTTTTGCTTAATAATAAACGAACTTGAACAAGCATAAATATTCAGTGTGACATTCGAAGCATTAGTATCACTGTTAACTTTATATATTTATTTAATAAGATAATGAAAATAATCAAGTGAAATAAACATGATAAATACATATTATAATGTTATAATCACTAAGCGTGAACGTAATAGTTTGTTCAGGTAATATTTTGCTTAATACACAAAAAAAAACTATGAAACATACGAATATACGGTCACAATTGTCGTTATATAAAAACAACTGATTACTGTTTTTGTGGTTAATTAACAAGAAAAAAGAAACATTAAAAGTCGAGGTATTGCATTCAGATATTTTATCTCAATATAATCTAAATGTTGCATTAAATAACTGGCACTACGAATCTATAGAAATATAATCACATACTATAAAAGTAAAATAATTTTCATTTAAACGGTATTTTAATTTTCAATGTATTGATTATTTTTCAGATATAAAGCCCTGCGGAGGCTAGCGTGGGTGTCCTTACGCCCACGGGACAAGTGTGACGTACAATGTATATATACATTAAAAAGGAATATATACGCAGTAATCGAATGGAAATATTTTGGGAAAATATCCCTTAACAAAGAGCTAGTGGTATACTAATAAATACATTTGAACTTACCTATATATCACGTAGATACATATATGATCGGACATGACCGATTTTGTTCAGATATTCTAAAGATCATAAGCCTATCGATTTAAAGAAGTAATTAAGAAATGTTAATTTCAACTTTATAAATATTTCTATGTTTAAGTAAACAGAACGCTTGTTAAGAAAAATTACACGGAATTTATGACACAACCATAGAGTGCATCTACCCTCGCATAATCTAATAGTGTAACGCAATTACACGATAAGTAGGACCCAAGGTCTGAGATATCGATAAGTTATCCAACACTAGTTGTATGTGAAGAAAATTGCATTTTACGCTTCGCTACATAAAACGTCAAGTTGTTGGCCACTTTTCAAAACGGCAAGGAGAAACTTGTAGTTTTTATTTCAATGATTTTTTCCTATTTCATTCTCTTTGTCTATTAAAATTATAAGTTACCATAAGTCTTTACATTTTCTTCTTGTATTACTCTTTAAAGAACAATTACTTTATAACGGTACTTACGCAATAACACGCCCGCTGATAAAATATACACAATATGATAATTTTATCAATACCATATCCGTATCTTATTTGATAAAGATTGTTTGCAGCTACAGTTTGCAAACATTATGTACAGCGTGATTTCTTTGCTCTCATGAACACCTGTTTCATCTCCCCGCCCTCACCCTAGCCGCATGACCTTGCCGGGGCGAGGGGGGATTCGCCCACGCTGGAAAATTATTCTCGGTTCTGAGCTATATTCCCAGGTAATAGAGTTTATATTAGTCATTCATCCTCCTGAATCCCTGTGCACAAAACAAATCGAAACTCGATTACTCGTGCACGGGTGAGATGATATCGCATTTGCCAGCAACTGTCATTAGCGTAATACATTGGTCATGTGCGTTTCAGTTTCAGATTTGATATCTTTGTGTTTAGATCTGATTATATTTGTGAACTATATGTACGGGTAGCAATTAACAAATATAATATGATCCTATCAATATATGCGAGGTTTACAAAGAGTTTGTTTATAATTGCAATTGAAATAATCCAGTCTATTTTTGGAATGTAAATCAAGATCCCTACTTCAGTAAATTACGTTAATTTTAATATTATCTCGGATACTCATTTTCCGAGTACTGACATAAAATGTGTGGGTTGTGCATTGTGCAATGACATACAGAGCACAGTAAGTCCGTCTCTCTCCCACTCGATGCACATATGTAGTTGAACAAAAAAACCTAAGATGCATCATGCAAAATTAGTTTCTAAGCAATTAAAACACAGTCTATTTTTGTATCATTAAATTGTAAAAAACTTTTATAGTATTTATTAAAGGAAAATTGATTATAACTTAGAGCATTGACACTAATTATATAGTGTTAAGATTTGTATGACTGGTCGACAACATGATTCGAATAAAAAATAGCTAAGATCGCAAAAATAAAATAAATATTTATTAATGTTGTTTTAAATTAAAGTTATTTTGCAAGTGATAAATAAATTTAATGTTTAAAAAAAACCTACTCAAAATACAAGAATCGTGTTTGGTACATTATAGTTATATTAGTGGATATGTGTAAATTTTTTGTGAGAATAATATTAAATATTTGTATTCTAGTCTCGTTCATAGAAATAAAAAGAATTATTCTATTTTGTTACGTAATTTTGTAAAAATTGTCAACAATCGCAGGTCCATTAGAATATAGTGATTAAATTTGAGTCTTTCTACTTCATAACTTAGGAATTACGTGTAGTAGACTCACATTTGTTTGGAATATTTGATATATACATATATTGATTGTCATATAAGTAGCGCGTATACAGTTGCCGGGCAACGCGTCACTGAGCCAAGATGGCGCGGGTGACGTCAGCGAGAGGGGAAGGGGGGGGGCAAGGTCTCGCGGCCAAGCGTGTCACTTCCCAATGAAAAAGAGGCCTGAGACCGAAAAGACCTGTCCTTGAAGCGATCTTGCGGAAGGTAAAAGTACAAATCTGATACAAAAACAAAATGTGACAGGCAATTTGATTTGGTACGGATCGCAGAATAAGGTTTATGATCGCGTGACAGGTGTGCTGTTGTTTGGCTTTTGAGAACCGTTTGACCTATGTCAAGTTCAGCGAAAGCGAAATGCTCTTGATACGAGAACAACTAAGGATCGGTCTCATTATCGCTACGTTTCTTATCATATATGTAATATTATAGAGTTTTACATACTTACATGACTCTTTAATTTCAAAGAGAGAAAATTATAAGCACTTCCTCAGTATATGAACATGGTTGACCAGACGATATCTCCGATACGGCTAATGAATGGCAGTATAAAATAATTATGTACGCTCACAACACATTAACATAAATTGTAGATTTAAAATTCTATATTAATAAATATAATATAAAAAGCATTTTAATGCCCTCATTTGTCGATGAAGTTTTGCGAATCCGTCGTACAGCTAGCCACGTTAATATGTTAGTAATTAAAGTTTATAATCATTTGTTTTAAGCACAAATGTACCGAGCGAACGAACGTCGCTCGTTAGCCGTGACAGCGATGAGTCGATGACAATTGTGCATGACGTCACCCACTCACACACACACACTGATAAGGAAACCACAGATGTGTGAGCTTGTGTGGGTGTGTGAAAGACTATATTCGTTGTTTGTTATTCAGATCGTAATGTTTTTAATTGACTACGTCGCATATTTGTTATAATATCGAATCTTAATGCAGTCTTTTGTATGGGAACATACATAAAATTACCGGATACTATAATAATCGGTAATTTTCCACGCTTTAATATTGTTGAATAAAATTTAGATATCTAGAAGCTGACAGACCGGAATGTTGACGGCTTAGGCAGTTGTGTTTATCTGTTATTTTTAAATAAATTAACCTTTTAAATTAGATCAATATGAAACCGAAATATGTATAAGTTATGACTTTTTTCTACCAGACATCGGTACGCGGATGATAAAATAAATTAATTTTCTTAGATAAATGAACAGAAAAATATAACACAACATAAAACATCTCCCAGGATATTTATTAGAAAAGTATTTTTATTTATGCCTTGAAAAGCTCAAACTCTTATATTAAAAAAGTTCTCAGCTAACAAAACATTTTTATGCAAACAGAATAGATATTAATTACTAAAATGAAAAAAAAAACTATGTTCAAAGTTCCGTGAATCAAGTAAGCCACAAAAGAAATATTAAGACTGTACGTACAAAGTTGAATAGCATTAATTATTAATATAATTTATGGTGTGGCAAGTCTGTGGATTATGTACATAAAACGTTAAGCAACTGTCCAAATTAGAGAGCCGATAAAAAGTAGCTTGCTATCTTGCTATCAACCTTAACAATCAGTTGCTTATTTTAAAAGAAATTTATTTATTCAAGACAGTCAAAATCTTCAGACTTTAGAATCTATAGCAATTTGGATAAAGCCTCTTCATGATGTATAAAAAAAAAAACTCAAATAATACAATCTTGACAGGTATTTAGTGTTCCTTAAAATGCTAATTTCGTACGTTTTTCAATGGAATACGGAATATTAAATCAGACGGCGATACTTTTCTTACATATTAATTGAAGTACGTACAGTTCACAGAATTTAACATACATTTCTTATCGAAATATTGTAAAAAAATTTCGCTTGTTTAATAAATACTATAATGTTTTTTTCTGTAAATATAACTAATGTAGCATGAAAACTTATAACTAATTAACTTAATTATGTTATTTTTAACTCACGTCGTTCCTCGAGTGAGGTGTAACCATTCAAATGG